AAAACTAAGCGCTCATTTCTGGATATAGCCGCCCGCCTCTATCTAAAATAGGTCCGCAATTTCGGGCTTTTTGTGAAAGAAATACCCTGAACTGGAGACTATCAGTCCTAAATTCCAGATTAATACAAATATTTCTATGATTCCTCCTGATTATGGCCTGTGTTATTGTGAAAACCCCGTGGGATCACAAACTATTAATGAGCTCGCGCGCAGAAATACAACCATTTGGTGGAATGCATCCTGCGAAGTTCGACTGCGGACAACCATGGGACAACATACAAACAGTCACACGGCATAAACAACACGTGAGTGTGGTGGCGTAGGTGCACGTGTGTAGTGTACTGAGCGCACGTACAGTGGTATCCGTTTATTTTCCCGACTTTGTCAAGACAGGATAGAGGCTTGAGCTTTGAACAGGTATGGACGTGTTCTTTACGTTGCAGTGCGAGTGGTGAGACCTTCTCCATACGCAATCTTTTCTTTGCTTGCATGACTTTGCTTGCTTTGCTGTTTTTGTTTTTTTTCTCGCTGCTTTTCAGACCATTTACAGTAACATCTGCAGATACTAACTACACGTACTAAAGCTACAACGTCAGGCCAACATGGCCGACGAAAGTGAGGAAGACATGACATGTGATCAGCTATCACAACAGCAGATATCAGAATATAAATCTAGTAGGCATAGTCGAAAACAAAACAATAACCAACCACGAGCTACGTTAGACGTTCTCATGAGTCAAGCAAAAGATGACCAAAATGTTGACGACGATAACAATGCAGATAGCAATAACGAAAATACTTAGCATGCCAAAGATATGGAAACTGGGGTCAGTTCACCAAAAACTTAATGGAGACCAATGTCCAGAAAAAGAGCGAAACCAATAAGCCCAAGTGAAGATTCTACAGAATCTGACAACAGTTCCTATTCTCAATACCAATAGAGAAGAAATGTAAACGCTTATCCGTATCCGTCCCACGAAAATGCAAACCCTACCATTGTAATCATAAATTCTCCAGATAGCAAACTTGCTCAGATAAATCCCATTAAAATAGCCAAAGCTCTCAATGAAATCGGACCGAACATCATTTAAAATGTCACTAAAACCAACCAAGGTGGCATCAGTGTTAAATGCCACACACCTGGTCAGGCTAACAAACTTAAAAGAATCAATACGCTTGGACCGTGGTCCGTTACCACCAAGTTTTCAAAATCAGAAACACAAAGTAAACGTGTAATCTCTGGAGTACCACTTGAACTCTCTGATAAAGAAATCCTCAAGGAATGCAAAAAAGGTGTCATGGATGTACGAAGGCTCACTTTCAAAAGAAATGGACAAACTGGAAACAGCCTCTCTGTCTGCCTCACATTTAGCATTCCTCACCTGCCTCAGCGCATTCAACTCGGTTGACAATACTTTGATGTTAAGCCATACATACCACCAGTCGTGCGTTGTTTCAACTGCCAATGCCTTGGACACACAGCAAACAATTGTCGTAGCAAAACAAGATGTGTATGATGTAGTGGTACTCACACGTATGATCAGTGTGACATGAAAGACCAAGTCAAATGCAGCAGATGTGGTGGAAGCCACTCCTCTGCCTATGCTGGTTGTGATACCATTAGAGAAGAAAAGAAAATCCAAGAAGTTAGAGTAACCTACAACATATCCAATGCTGAGGCAGCAAAGTCCATCCATACAGACATCACTCTCCATGCTGAAAAGCCTGACACTCTTTCTCAATTCTCCAAATTGAAAACCTGGACTCAAAAAAAAACATGGGCAGACACACAAAATACACAAAATGTACATGTCAGTAGTGAACAAAGAAGACAGAATCTGCAACCATTGTCCAAAAGAGAGGTTTCTACTCAAACCAAAGATGTGTCCGTAGCTAGCCAAATTGAACCTATCTCGCCATGTTTGTTGGCAGATAACTCGTTAATAGAACTACTTATTGGAACAATTCAAATCTGGGAGTCTACTTAAAATAAAGAAAGTAGGGAATCAGAAATAAAGTCTCTCTTTGATCACTTATTCCATCAATCAACCAAAACACATCAGGCATCAGACCAATGGAGAAAATGTAATGCTCATACACAATCCTCAAGCACTGGTACATCCCCGCAGGGGACACAAAGGAAATCCTCTCAGTCCAAAACCAAACAGAGAGGAGCCCCTGCTAAGTCCTCACAACCTGAAACTTCAAATCAGCATTGAAAACATCCAAGCAGTCAAAGGGGGAAAGTCAGCAAACATAAACATGAATCTTATCCTCATGGTCTTTATCTTACAATGGAATGCACAATCACTTATTGCACACGGAAATGAACTCAAGCATGCTATAAATGACTGGAACGACAAACCCGATATAATTTGTATACAAGAAACATGGCTTAAAGAAAGTAAGAATTTCAATCTTTCTGGATATAACATTTACAGATGTGACTGGAAACCTGACCTTAAATTCTCTGGCGGGGGATGTGCTATTTTCACCAAAAATGCCCTTGTTGTTCAAAACATTGCTGACAAGGATTCCCTTTTCCAGTATCAAGTCCTTGAAGTGTATAATAGTGATAAAAGTAAATTAGAAATTTAATGCTTATAACCCTTGTCTTACTTTGAAGGACGATTCTTTAACCGACATCGAAAATCATATAGGTAAGACCCCTATTATTTGTGGAGACTTCAATAGCCACAACTCCCTCTGGGGAAGCAAAATGACTGATGCCAATGGTAATATCATCGAAAATGTAATGGACAAACACAATCTTGTCTATGTTAATAGTGGAAACGTACTAGAATTAACACTTCCAATGGCACTACTACTTGCATTGACATTACTGTCACCTCTCCAGATCTTGCAGCCAAGATTAACTGGACTACCATAGATGATACTTGGGGAAGCGACCACTACCCTATCATTATTGAATTTAACAAAAAATGCCAGTCCACTTCCAACTCTCGTTGGTCCACCAAAAGAGCCAGCTGGGATGCCTTTGAACAAACTTGTGATAACCTTATTACTGAGCCAAGCAGTAATATTAATGCTGAAGATGCTTATAACGAGTACATTGAGCAACTTATTGAGGCTATCAATCATTCCATCCCCCGTACAGTTTCTCATAAAAAGAACAAAAGATATCTACCTCATGGTGGAATGATGACTTTAAAAAAGCTGTTGAAAACCGGAAAGAAGCCCTTAAATTGTTAAGGAAAACCTGTAGCCCTAAAGACCTTATAGCTTACAAACGTACCTGTGCTATTGTTCGTAAAACTATTAAAGCTGCTAAAAGAGATGATTGGAAAAGTTTTTGTGTTACCTTGAACTCCCAAACTCCTTCCAAAAAGATTTGGGACAAGATTCATCATATGAACAATACGCATACTAAGGTTAGCATCTCGGTCTTAAAAGACAGTGATAAACAGTTTATCTCTGACGAAGATAAAGCTAACTTACTTGCTCAAAGTTTTGCCTCTATCAGCAATGATCAAAATTACAGTACCGCTTTTTTAAAAACTAAACAAAATGCTGAAAATAATTTTCACCATAACCCTAACCCTCCTCAATCCTTCACCTGTTGGAGGACTGAGGAGTGTTAGGGTTAATGATGATAATGTTAATGTTATTAATGAACCTTTTACTATGTCTGAACTGGAAACTGCCATTGATGCAGCAAAGTGTACCTCTCCAGGTAAAGATGGTATCGGCAATGACATTATTAAACATCTCCCTCAAACAGCACCTGAAATTATTCTCATCATTTTCAACAAGATCTGGAGTACTTCCCAGTGTCCTAGCCAATAGAAAGAAGCCATACTTACTCCTTTTCTTAAACCCGGCAAAACTCCCACCGATCCTAAATATTACCAGCCATTTGCACTCACCTCCACCTTCTGCAAAATGATGGAGCGCATGGTCAATAATCTGGTACCTGGAGAAGCACAATTTGATCAGTAATCATCGGTCTGGTTTCCGGAAAGGGAGAAGCACAAAGACCATATCATTCATCTTGAATCTAGCATAAACAAGGCTTTTGCCAACAGGGAAAGTACTTTGGTGGTCTTCCTGGATCTTGAAAAAGCATATGATATGCTATGGCCCAAAGGAATTGTCATCAAATTACAATCACTTGGAATTGGTGGGTGCATTACCCGAGGATCAATGACTTTCTTACAAATCGGAAAATCCAGGTTAAAATAATTAACACTTATTCTGAATCATGTACTGTTAAAAATGGCACACAGGTAGCGTTATTAGTCCAACACTCTTTACTATTGCTGTTAATGACCTTTCTCAATGTATTAATGGAGTTAATATCTGTCAATATGCAGATGACATAGTGATATGGAAATCCAATAGAAATGTTAATTTCATTACCAATAAGATCCAACAAAGTCTCAATAACATTTCCTCTTGGTGTGGAAAATGGGGCTTTAAAATATCAACTCCCAAGACCTACGCTGTCCTATTTACTCATAAACGAAATGCTTCCTCTAAACTGAAGATAAATAATTCTGACAACAAATTTCAAAATTCAGCTAAATTTCTTGGTGTCATCTTTGACAACAAAACTAACCTGGGAGGAACACATCAACTATGTCGTCAATAGAAGCAAAGCTAAACTTAACATCCTCAGATGCATTAGTGGAACTGATTGGGGATCAGACTGTTGTATTCTCTTTCGCCTGTACAAAACTCTTATCAAACCAATTCTAGAGTACGGATGTGAAGCCTTCAACTCAGTGGTTTAAGAACACAAGCAAAACTTAGATAGTATACAATATGCTGTGGAGCACTGTATGGAACCTCGTTACAGAAACTGCAAGGAGAGTGTGGAGATCCTCCTCTTTATCTCAGCCGTAATTATTTTTGTAATCTATATAATATCAAACTGGATATGCATGCTTTTCATCCTAATAAATACGTCCAAATAGACTGCTGGCAGAAACACTACTTTGATAAAAAATGGAAAATTTATCGATGCCAGAACAGGTAAACTGCATTTTAATACCTTCCCATTACACAATCCTTTTCTTTACTGGCATTATACTAAACCCGATATCTCAACAGAAATTCTGAACCATGTTAAACATATCATGGATATCAATGAAAAGGGTTCCTTTGCTACAGAGATCATACATGCATCTTGGGGAACTCACTTCACATCTATACAGATGGTTCTAGTCGACCCGAATAATAACACTGTGGGCTGTGGTATATACGTACCTCAAATTAATATACTAAGAACATCAGATTAAACAACGAAGCCTCTATTTTTACAGCGGAACTCTTTGCCATTTTACTGGCCCTTGAATGGATTGAAGATGTTCAGCCTATGCAATCCTGTATTTTCACAGATTGTCTAAATGCTATACAAGCTATATCTCGGCCTATCCCAAGAAACAAATTAACTT